AGGGCTGGAAGCCTCTGGTAGTAATGCACCAGTTATCCCTTGGTACCGCACTGGTTATCGCTCAGTGGGAGGCACTGGGCTTGCTGGTGGGAGGCAGAGATGTGAGCGGAGGATAACAGGAGCCTGTCTGGGCCTGTCTTGCCTTCAAGTGGGAGATAGAGAAAACACTTTGCTGCCCACACAGAGTGTGGCTTCTCCACTGCCAGCTCCCCACGTCTGTTTGGTGTGTAACGAAGGGTCAGGGTCTTGGCCGAGGCATAGCAGTTTGATGATGATGTAAGAGTTACCCTGTTTAACTGCAGAGGGAGGCTCCTACGCAAAAATGTGGTAGGTCCTGCCCTGCTGAGAGGCTGTATTGTGGGACCTCAGGCCTTGGAGATGTTTGGTGGAGAGAGCTCAGAGGCCTCTGGCGCGAGGGGAGATCTCTGGGCAGGAGCTGTGGACAGAGGACGTCCCCAGGCCCCCAGCTGGGAGTGGCACGTTGCGCTCTGGTGCATCCCTGTCTGCTGCCGGTGGCACTGGCTCGGAGGTGAGGCAGCCTGTGTGACATGCCAGGGCACGGTGACCACGTGGCGCTGCCTTGGTTCCCACCCTGCCAGCACCTCGTACCAAATCCACAGGGGCTCCTGCACCTGGGGGAACTGCACGGAACAGGGGAAAGCCACAGGCATGGCTCCCAGCCCTGCCGGCTGTGGCAGAGCCCACTTAGGGCTGCCAGCTTTGAAGCAGTGAATCCACCTTCAAGAAGGAAAGGGAAATGACGTGAGTGTTTCCTTCCTCTTCGGCCTGCAACCATGCCAGGAAGGACCAGTTTTATCTAGGAGCCCTCGAGCTGTGAGAGTCACATCACTGTCACTTTACCTGATGCTGTCACCCAAAAAGAGCCTTGGATAGATTGCAGTCTCCTGCGCGTCTCAGAGCCAGACTGGGGAAGTGGGGGGTGGGATGGGAACAGAGGTGCTGTTTGGGGGGCAAGTCCCAGTGACTAAATTGCTGTCCACAGGGCAGAGGGTGAGGATCTGGGTGCTCCTGACAGCAGTGACAGCCCTTTTTCTGCCCGCTCCAGCCTGGCCAGAGCACGCCTGCGCCTGGCCTCGTCCCACACCCGCTCTGGCAGTGCCTGCAGCTGCCAGACCAGGAAGCTGCCCACCAGCATGAGGGTTTGCAAACATGAGCAGAGCTCAGAGGACAGAGTTTCCTGTCCCCGTTCCGTTCTGAGCTGTGCTGGGGAGCATGTCAAGCTCTGCTCTTCCACCAGCGTGCTGGCTGTCCCAGAGCCGGGCATGCAAGAGAGCTGGTGCTGGGGGACAGGGAGACCAGGGGTAGGGAGGGATGTGGAGCTGGGCTTTGCCAGGCTGGGAGTGAGGGGCTGAGGCAGCCCTGCCTGGCTTCACCCCAATGCCTGCAAAATATCTGTACAGGGTCTCCTGCCATGACTCTGCTCCCATGTCCATGAAATGACTTCATCCTGCCTCTCATGCTGCTGGGGTGTGCTGTGCCCCTGGCTGGCGTGCAGGATGTGGCTCCCCAGGTGGGAATGGCTGAGCTCTCGGCCAGTGGCTCAATGGGAGGTCATCTCCAAGGTCTGATAAAGTTACATCTGCGTGAGCTCTGGGTTGCTGGGTTATGTCCTCGCTGCTGGGAGGAGAGATGACTCAGAGACCTCATCCAGGAAACTGGGGGCTGCTAATACATGGGTTCGTTATCACCAAGTCCAGTGTGCATGGGTTGATGGCCGTGGTTTCTTACTCTCCACAGGCCACGATGCTGCGTCTGGCTGCTTTTGCAGCACTGCTGCTATTCTTCAGGGTCAGCCTGGAGCTGTCCTGGGCCCAATCCATCCCCGCTCTCTTCATCTTCTACCTGGGATCCGGCGGATGGGACTTCTTCCTCATATTCATGAAGACAATACGAAGGGACGTCACGTAGGTGTCCTGGCTGGGATGACCCGACCATCCACCCTCCCCCTGGCCCGCTGCTCTGCCCCAGTGTGTGTGCCCCAGCTCCTTGCACAGCCCTGGGTTTCTGCTGGCACCCAGCCTGGCTGGAAGGAGATCTCCCTCTGCTGCGCCCGGGCGGCTCCAAACTCTCGGGCAAAGTTTTCACAGGAAAGATAGATTTCAGCTGAGCTCTGAAGTCTAGTGACTGTCCTTGTACTTCACCCTGTCCCCAGAGCTGCTGGCGTGGTATCAGGTGCCTGCACAGGGTCAGTTCTGAGTTGGTACCAGGCTGTGCCAGCTCCTGGCAAGGATTAGTGGGGAGGGAGCAGTGACACCTCTTGGAGAGCACCTGACTGTCAAAGATGCCCCTTTGACTGGGGACATCCCTGTCTGCAGCCTTCCAAAACCCATCTCCCCCCCGGTTCCCATCAGTTCCTGGCTATAAGCATCTGTGCAGATAAGCTCTGCTGAGGTCCACACCGCTCAGGGGAGCACCCAGAGCTGCTGCTGACCTAGAGCAGGGTCTGGAGCAGTGCTGGGCTATCGCAGCTCCTGAGGAGGTCTCGTACTGTGCTGGTTTTGCTGGAGGAAGTGGTTTTGCAGAGGTCTCTGAGCAGCTGCCCTCTTGCCCCCCTTCCTTTGGCAGCACCGGGCTGGTCCTGTTGCGGGTGAAGTGGCAGGTGTGGAGGCACGTGAGGGAGAAGAACACAGTCGCCAAGATCTTCCAGAAGACAGCGAGCAAACATCCAGAGAAGACAGCACTGATCTTCCAAGGCACGGGCGAGAGCTGGACCTTCCGGCAGCTGGATGAGTTCTCCAACAGGGTGGCCAACTTCTTCTGCGCCCAAGGCTTCCGCTCTGGTGACGTGGTGGCTCTTTTCATGGAGTCCCGCAACCAGTACGTGGGACTGTGGCTGGGCTTGGCCAAGATCGGGGTGGAGACGGCCCTCGTGAACTCCCACCTGCGCAGGGAGGCCTTGCTGCACTGCATCACCATCTCCAGCTCCAAGGCTGTGGTTTTTGGGGTGGAGATGACGGAAGGTGAGGGGCAGGCAGATGCGTCAGCGGTGCTCTGGATGTGGCGGGGGGAGGCGTGTCTGTGGATTTAGTGCTTCTTTCCTGCAAACCATAGGGCAGGGATGTGGAAAAGAGTGGACAGGGGTATTATCCAGGAATTTTACCTGTTGGTTTTTTTTTTTTTTCTTCTTATTGGTCCCTTTGGCCACTGGGCTGGGCCTGGAGTTCAGTGCTCTCTGGCTGCCAAGCAGGCCAGCCTGGCTGCTCCTTCCTTGTGCCTCTCAGGTCCATCTTCTGTGTGGAGCTATGGGTTGGGCCTGCCCTGCTGCACAGGACAAGCCTCCCCTTGCTCTCTGTGGCTCTTGGCCACATCCCTGCAGCACCCTGGCTCTAACTCCTCGTGTTTCAGCCCACACCTCTGAGCTTGATGGTGTCAACAGTCCTCTTGGCACCAAAGAGGTTTTGGCTGGGGAGAGGTGGAAAACAGGATCTTCTGGTCCCTGAAGAGGCCTGGGCTGTGGTACCAGCATCTGTTAATCGTGGGAACAACATCTGCCTGATATGTCTGTCAGCCTTTTGGAGGCTCTGCCGAGCACAGCGAGGGCACTGCAACCTGGGCAGTCTCCCTGTGTCTGTGCTCCAACCACCCTGCGGTCTTTCTCCATCTCCCCTCTTTACTTTCACAGCAATGCAGGAGGTGCAGCCCTCCCTGGAGAAGTCAATCCATCTCTTCTGGTCTGGGGAAGGAAGCCCCGAGTCCACGCTTCCTGGTGCAAAACACCTGGACCCCCTCCTGCAGACGGCCCAGCGGCACCAGCCAACCCCCCCTGAGAAGGGCTTTCTTGGTACGTGGTCAGCTTTTGGGGGCTAAACTTGCAGTGGCATTTCTGTGTATCTGCTGGTTACAACTCTGGCAAGAACATCTGCTCAGGATGCTGATGGCAGACATCTGCAGCAGGGCCTGGGGCCTTTGGGATGGGTCCTACTCTGTTTGTCCGAAGCCCAGCCCTATGTGGGGCAGTATCCTGTGGTGCTACAGAGCTGATCTGCCCAGGGTGGATGAACACAGCACGTTCTTGGTGCCATCACAAAGTTTTGGCTCAACTGGCATGAGCAGAGTGTATAAACTTGACTTGCCCCCCACGTCTTCTTCAGCCAGCTCCTAGGTTGGGTACATGACCTTGTCTCCTCTTTGCTCTCCAGATAAACTCTTCTACATCTACACCTCTGGCACGACGGGGCTGCCCAAAGCTGCCATCGCGGTGAACTGCCGGTAAGGCCCAGGGCAGGGGCTGGGGGAGGACGGGGCTGAGCTCTGCCCTGTCCAGCTCAGCTGCTCTGGCTCTGCAGCTGACAGGTCCCTTCGCCCTCCTGCCCCAGGTACTTCCGCATGGCCAGCCTGGTTTTTTACGGTTTCCGCATGAGGCCGGAGGATGTGCTGTACGACTGCCTCCCGCTCTACCACGCCGCCGGTCCCGCC